TCTCTGCAGAGCTGCTTTCCAGCAGGTCAGCACCCAGCCTGTACTGGTGCATTCCCTGGATATAACGTAATTTTTTGTCGCAACTGCTCCAGTTAAGTATCTTAAAAGAGAGAGTAAAATTGTGGAGGGCCATACAAGTCTGTATGTAAGGTCTTATGAAATAAACTAATTCAGGTGTTATGAAATAAACTAATTCAGTCTTATACGTAAGATGAACGGCTGGAGCAAGAAGCTGGAATTACTGTTTTGTGCTGTAGCACATTTCATATATGTCGTATGCCAAAGTGTTTTAGGGAACACTTACAAAACGATGTAACTAGTGTGCAGCGATACAACCAGCGCATGAAGGAATAAATCTTGGATTCTTTTGGTTGGATCCAGTCTACTTCAGTATTTAAATTGCCTGTAATTTTTAGATGAATAAGTAACTGCGCCCCAAAGTACTTGAAGTTTCCTGTGTGGAAAGCAGTACTTCTCAAAAAAGCCTTCAAAGACACCTTTCTCTCCTTAAAAATTGACTGTATCTATTTATTCTACCTTTAACTCTTTAAGGTTAAGAATTATTGGGAATGATGAAACTGTATCTTTCGAATTTAAGCATAGTGCACAAGTAATCTAAACCAGATAATGTGATCAAAACTGCTGTTATCTTTCCTGTAACGTTAACTGAAAAGAACATGGTTAACTACAGATTAGGTACAAGTATGAGATTGAATGGCACTGATTCATAGGCATTCGCAGCAGTATATTTTTATTTGTACAATACTGATTTTAGTGCCTGCAGATTTGATTAATCCTTTTCGTCTGATGAGATGCTGTTGTGGTACTTGATGAAAATGGAAACAAAAATAAATAATCATGCAAAATAGACGTTGGAGGGGGATTTTTTGCTCCAGTCAAATACACTGGAGGTGTAGGTGAATTCAGAAACAAGGACACCCATTAAACTCATCTCCTTCAGCTGAAACCAAGGGATGATTCGTTATTCTTCTAGCAGGCAACTTCCTATTGTAGCTATTGCTCTTCTTTCTGTGAAGCAAGCACAGCACCCAGTTGTGCGCTTACAGAAATAAACAAAGGATTTTGGACTTTGCGATGGAAGATCAAAGACATTCAAACCTCCTTTTCCTGTTTGTTTAATACGAGAAGCTTTTCTAGATACCCAGAACAGACTAAAGATACGCATTTATGGATATATGATGTTGGGGCAGGAGAACTGGTTGTTTGATCCTGGTTGATGTTTGACCTCGTACTCTTTTCTTCATAAAGTTCAGAAACCAAAGTTATGGTTGGTTAAGAACTGTTTTCCTGTTCTTGTCTTTTTTATTGCACTTTATTAGAAAGAACTTTAGTTAAGTCTATTTCCACTAACTCATTTATCATTTGGCCTGAGATAGTGCCTGAACATGTGCAATAAGACCGAAGCCTTTCTATATTGAGCAGTAATACAAACATAGCAGCAGAATATAAAAAACTGTGCAACCTATTTCATGCAATGTGTGCATATTATTTATTTCAAGAATTCCACACAGAATGTCCAATTTCTTGAACAGTGCAGGTTCCAAATGTATTTTAATGCCCAAATTCCAATAAATGTAGCACTTCTACTGCTCGTTTCTGCAAACGCATATGCCTTTGAAAGACTGTGAAGGATTCAAAGTCCCTCTTCTGTTTCTAGGGACCAGAACGTTGTTCTATTCCCTGTTAGTAAGCAAGGCTATCTCCTGTGTGGGAGGGAGTCAACAAAAGGTTCACTTGTGACGTGGACCCCAATAGCCACAAGGGACAAACATGTACTCTATTTCTAGCATTGCACGCCAGAGAGCTGCTTCAGCTGTTGCAAGCAACTGGAATACACTTTGGACCTATCCGATTCCTGCGGTGCCAGGATCTGACCTGAGAGATAAGGGAAGCAGCCATTCTACTTGTGGACGCAGCGGAACCTGTACTGGACAGGTTCCTAGGTTAAGACAGGTTAAATAGAAATCAAAATATTTATTTGTAACATCCAAAATAAAATAGAGGATCTCCAGAGGTCCCTTCCAACTTCAACCATTCTGTGATTCTGTGTGAACCTGAACTCCTCAGGCTCAGTTCAGAAAGCAAGACAAAAAAAGTAACATGCTTTTAGAGTAGAGTTTAATCAGGAATAGGAAAGTATTAAGGAGAGAGCAGTTTTGCAACGATTTGATTCTTTTGATCTGGTTTACAAAGATCAGTATGCTTACCATCAGACTGTGCAATAAGTTCTCCAGAATTCAGTTCAAGCTATGAGAAGAATGTCAGTAAGAACAGAATACAATATCGTACTCAAGTATTGAACAGCTTGGAAAGCAAGCAAGCAAGGAGATACAGAGGCCCAGAAATGTTCTGGCCTTATTTTCCTAAACGGATTGTGCTGTTTCAGTTTCTTGTATCACACGCTTTAAATATATGAACCCCCAAAACAAATATTCTAGTGGGGAAAAAAAAATAAGAACAAGCCTTTCTGTTCTTTCTTATCTGTTTTTGCATTTTAAGCCAGGAACTGGACAGGGAAGATGTCAATTACTGCCAGAGGAGCATTAGAATCTCAGTTATGCCTCAGTACTGCTCTTCACTGTCAGTCTACCAAAAAAAATGGAAAGAACTGAATATAATCTCAATAAAATTCTGCTGCTGAAAATTCCATTCAAGAATTCTAATATTCTTCTAATATTTCCCATTTACTGCCTTTTTTTTTTTAATACTACAAAAAAGTAGATAGGATCTTGATGTCCCTAAAAGTTACTAAGGCATTTTACCTCAATAACTTGCCAAAGTAACTGCGCATTAAGGCAATTAACTCTGCTCTCTGATAAAGAATTAAAAACTGAAAGGAAAAGCTGTAAGTTACACTTCCCCAAGACCTACAGGGTAAATCAAGTATCTTTCATTTTGAAAGCTGATACTTGTTCTTGTAATATCCTTCATTCCAAGAATAAGCAGCTTAAGTGAAAATATTTTAAGAGGTAATTTGGAACACTAAATAACATCTACATTACAGAGCTCTTCCAGTGCCCCATTGGAAAAAAAAAAAAAAAAAGATACTCCCTTAAAAAAGGTAATTTTTTCTCTTATATGAATAACAGTAATACTTCCTCTTATAGGGTGATCTCTGTACATGTTAGAACTTCGTGTTCTCTCCATACGTTAGAGTTTATTTCAACTATTCCGTACTAGATCTGTTTGAAAAAAAAGAGGGGGGTACGGATACACTAAGCAATATTCAGGACAAACACTATGATGAATCACACTTTCTTGTAATACGCATATTTCTCCTACGAAAATATTTAAATGTGTGTGCACATATTTGTTTATGTGAGGCAACATTCTTGTACTTTTATGAGCTCTCTGGCTATAAACTAGTTTTGTATTGGTACTGAATCTGGAGGGAACGTCTTCTGAATTTTAAACACGTACATACCTGTTTAAAACTATCACCTAGCTTCCAAGAGCTCAAAGGAAAAATAACAAACCCAAACCACTATTTAAGTGTGACATATACAAAAATAATGCTTTCTCTTTACCGCTGCAGAGCAAAAAGCAGTAAACTATGCTAGAAGTCAGACTGCATCACCCACAAACCCTGGAATCACTGGTGAATCAACATTCTCACTACTTTGCTCTCCAACAGTTACAGCCTATAATTTGTTAGGTAGTGTCTCTCACCCCCCCAGATATTAGGGTTCAAAGCTGGCAGAAGCCAAATGTTCCCTTTATGAGGGCTCGCGCAGAAATGGACAAATCCACAAAAAAACCCACCCTTCTATGGCGTTCAACTCAAAGACCTTCCTCACCTCTTCTTTCTCCTCTTTCCTCAGGGCCTCAATTATTTTTGAAATAATGCAACCACTTGGCTGAAAGCAAGTTACAGGTACACACAGAGGCTCATTTGATAATTGAATGACCTCCTTCTGCATCACATCTAAAAAGGACCTTCTTGGGGGAGCCCCTTGCATCAGTGATTCTTCTGCTAGTCTACATGAAGTATCTTTTAACACTGACATTGCTAGATGCACTGTCCAGGTACACCGATAATGGTGTGATCATCACATCATTATCAAGCAGAAAACACCTGCAGGACTGAAGACAACTTGGCTTAAACAGATATAGTTCAGTCCTGTAAATGGCTCTACCACTTACAAAATAAAGCATAATTTTAACATGAGGAGTAAAGACTTAAGCTCACACAGGCAGGTAAAATTTGCTGAAATAAGAACTGCCTACCTCTGCCCTCTTGGTTCCAGCTGTACCAAAGAGCTCCAAATTCTTCCCTGGGGGAGGGCAGACAGGCTTACTTGACAGGCTTACTCAACTTTCTTCTAACAAGTATCTTGACAGAAGAGATTGGATTTTCATATAAAATATAAAAATTGAAGACAAGGAGGGAAATATAGCTAAACTTACAAATCATTCAGGCCTCAGCCCACACTCTTTATCTTGCTTCAATCCTTCCTCCTCCCTGAGCTGCACTACCTGAAGCAAGGGCCACAGAGCAGCATGTTCTGAACCACTGTTAATACTCACTTCCCCTACTGAGAATTCATTGCACCATGATCCTTCCAGCTTCTGTCAACGCAGCTGGAAAAAGGACCAAGCTCTAAAACTGTACAGCTAGTTACTATGGTGGGGGGGAAGAATACACACAAAAGGGACCACATTACTTTCCTACAGAAGTGGAAAGTAATTTGGTAAGTTATCTATGTCCATGTAAGAATACCGTAACTCTTCCACCTACATTTTAATATTACTATGCAAAAATGTAACCACCAAACTCTCTCTGGCTGTAACAGGAACTAAGCTACCATTTTTCTGGGTTTTTTTTTTTTTTTTTGGCTAAAAAAGAAGTACGCAATTTTAAAAAGATACATCTCTAAGACTGATGGACCTGCCCCAAAGAACATCAAAGAAATATTTCCGACCTGGACAGCAGAAAGAAACAAGGATCAGAATCCAAGATCAGAAAAGGCAATACTCACTCCTTATTCCTGTTTTTAATGCACGGCTGGTAAAGAATCTTGGCAGCATTCCAGGTCCCCGTTGATGCAGAATCGGGCCTCAAAGTATCTCCAAACAGCATAAAAACATTGTGGGAGGACGAACTTCCTAAAGACTCCACTAGGAGTGTGTCAGAATTTAAAAGCCATATCTATAAATGAAGAAATCATTTCTATTACAGAAGATAATATAAATTTCCATTTGTTCTGATACTCTGATCCTAAACCTGATGTACAATAAACAGCTGATACTAAAGTCATACTCACAGTGAAGTTTCTTTATGTTTACTTGTATATCACAATATCAGTTTCTAAGAAAGTGTAACCAAATGTTAATTGACATTTTATTTAGCACACTCTGCATAATCTCTACTGCAGAAAAACAGAGGTTAATACAATAAACTGATGCTTGATTTATCACAATCACTATTAAGATTATTATTTCCATGAAGCTGCTGCTTCTTGTAGCAGCAGTACATTCCCTCTGAGAAACAGAAAAAATAACCCCAAGTTTTCTGTTTCAGTACTGCTTCAGCTTTTGTTTTTTTTTGTTTTTGTTTTTTTTTTTTTAAAAAGAACAAGTAGAGCAGATGATGTTGAACAACTGAGTAATAAAGACCGAAAGGGAATTGAAAGACTGCCCACTGGAAGAGCCAGAAACTAGAGCGTTTTAAGAAAAAGTAAGACAGTTAAGACTGGACAGAGTCAAGTCCTGCAGGAAAAAAAATAGCAATGAACGTAGTCTAAAGTAAAGACGGGATTTACAAAACACTGCAATAGAACCTTACTTGAAAATAAATCTAATTCAAATTTGATAATGAATTTGGCATTCTTCAGCACTAATTGCGCACACCAATTTCATTGGAAATTACAGGGGAGAGTTTTGGGAAATCTGAACTTTTTGCATCACTTTATTGATCTGATCTAATGTTTGTGTGCTTGTGTACCAGCATTTCAAACTGAATTCAGGGCTTTCATGCTAAGCACTGCACAAAGTCAGTCAGGCCTTTCCCTTATACCTAGCCTAAAGGAGAGATCTCAGTTATCAATGGAAATCAATTTCACAAGTCCTCAGCCTGTATGAAATGTTTATATATGACATATTCAACACAGAAAATATGACTTAGGTAGTTCTGCCTACTAGAGACTAATCTTTTGCTTTTCATAACCTAACCAGCACCACGTAAAACAAGTTACATGACATTAGGCAGCAGACCTATAACACCACTGTGAAGTGAGTAAGTCACTGTTAACAGGACACACAACGTACGTACGTCATGTCAACTGAATGCGACAGCTAATCAGGGACCAAGACTCAGAACATTGTACTGAGAGCTCCATAAAGAAGGAATGAGATGTATTGATAAAGATGCCTTGGGAGGGGATGGGAAGCAGGAGCATGTCTCTAGCATATGCACATAAATGATAACGAGGAATCATACTGCAGTGGCTTACTAAGTTGCTGTTCATCAGTTTGGTTCTGGTAACTGACAGTGCACATTTATAGCCTCAACTGCAAAACATGCCACATTGCCTTGGACCATTGCACATGGTACTTTAAGCCGAGTATCGAAGAAATGCTGGAGAAAAAGAGGAGAAAGAAGTGACCAACGCACACAAGCCACTACCACCAAGCTTAGCTTTAACTAAAGCGAGTTCCTTCCTTTTGCAAATATTAACACTCACCAACAATTGCCCTTTGAAGGAGACTCCTGAAAAGCTTTTCAGAAGGTGAATACCCTTCAAACTAGTCTAGGAAACAATGCAGTAATATCTGTCTATTCCTTTCAGGATTCTTCTGTAGCCTGCACCAGAGAAAGCAACTAACTCATTTCATTTGCAAGGGGATCCATCTGAAAAGCGCTTCTATCACCAGTGTTGATCTGCAACTTCTGACAATAGTACTCAATCACTTGGTCAGAACATATCTTTGTTTCTGTCCAACAAATTTCTGTTAAAGTTTTAGCACAAAATATACAGCAAGCAACCAAGTGTTCCGGGGAAAAGTAATTTAGTTATGAGAAAATCTGTATATATTTTAGAACTATCAAATTCTGAACTAAATCTCTTTCTTTAGGTAATATTTTCCCTCTTTTCCTCCTGTATGAATTATTTGCTGATGCTGCTTTTTGCCTGGATGAACAACCACACACTAAGTCTCTGATTCAACACATTTCAATATGTTACTTCTGGCTAATATAGTTTCAGATTTCAATCTACACTCTAAATCATTTTGCTGACAATATACAATCTTTCCTTCCTTTCTACTACTGTGTACAGCAGAGCCTGGACTACCACATTTCTTCAATGTAAAGACGTCTTTTTCCAGTAAGAAAAGAATCTCTACAGAAGCTCATACATAAAGTTTAGAACTTATTCAGTGTGCAGATTGCTGACCTTTTCTCAAGTAGAGAGTATCAGGAGAAAGTGCTTTTTTTTTTAATCATCACCCTGTCAATATGCTTCAAGGATGCTGCTAAAGAGAAGCGCTGCGATAAATCTGTTACCTTTAGCAGAACTTGATCCAAATAGGCAAACTAGAGGGGAGATCTACAGTCTGTGATTAGTTTCCTAAAACCTCAACCTGTCTCTCCAGCATCACTTTGGGGACAATGAGGCATCAATTCAAATTTAACTTGGCTTAAAAAAAGCCCTTTTTCTTCCTCATTAGTTCTTTCTCAGTTACTGCAGACGTTACCATTACTTTTGACATCACACAGGCTAGTAATACAAATAACATTTTTTGTTAAAACTTCTGGCCTCACACTCAGAATGTAAATATAAGATGTGGTCTTCCTTATCCTTCACAAAACTAAAACTCTCAACAAGGTGTCCATCATCTCATATCTTGATTGCTGCAACATCACCTTCTCCAGCCTTGACAAATGCAAGCTTGTTCTGTTCATGCCCTCAAAAATACGGCTGAAGAATCCATATCTGACTGACAGGTCTCTCATTTCTTCACTTATTTCTTTTTTTGGCATATCTTCCCCTTCTCTCCCCACTTGTTGCTGAAACACAAGCTGCCTTACTTTCAAAGAACCCTACAGCCTAATCCCACTCCAAAAAACATCTTTCGCTCAGCACTGGCAGACTGGAGTTAGTACTCAATTACTTCAGACTACTCCACTGCACACTTTTCAGTTTTCACAGTTGTATCTTTTCGGGTTTTCTCATCTCGATCCCATCCACGGAATGAACTCCTTGCATCTATTCACAGAACAACATGTTACCTCTTTCAAATCTATCCCCTACTACAGTACAGGAAAAAAATTACATCTATTAGGCTGCCGCTATGCTGACCAATAATGTATCATTTTGCTAGTGCTCTCCCATTTGACTATATCCATTTGCTGTTTCATCTTGTACTTAGATTAGAAGTCTGTTTTATGTGACTTCAGGGTAGGATACCCTTCAAGAACAGAACGAAGATAGGAGGCAAGTGACTCTTCTTTTAGAGAATGTAAACATGGCAGAGATAAAGTCAGCATAAGTAAGAAAATCCGCATAAGTAGCATTTCATTCTGTGAGCCAAACACTTTACTTTGTCCTTTTAAAAAAATCCGTAACAAGTATATAATTTTCAGAAATGTGCTTATCGATCAATTAAAACAACAAACTCAAACGATGATCCCTGCAGATAAAGTAACTGGGTAACGTTCAGTGATATGTGCAAAGGAAATCAGTAAAATGAGTACACGTAACACTTAAAAAAAAACTTTTTTAAACTTGTGAAAGACTAATTATGGTGTACATAGGCTAAGTTCTGTACACTCAGATATGTAAGCACAAATACTGTGAACCAGAATCTTTGGCTCGTTGTCAAAATAACAAGTTGCACAGCTGGTCCATGATGAGACCACTTGTCTAACTTGGCTATGTACTTGCAGCCTCAAGCAACTAAACTTTTTTAGTGTTTACCTATTTGCAATCAATATAAACAGCTCTTACATTACACTTGGGTCAAGTCTTAGGACTCAGAGGTCCTATGGACACACTACCCCCAAACACATGTCGTGTTGACGCAGTTCCTAGAACCTCATCCTAGGCACAACTAAGGGCTTGCTGATGTTAAACAAAACGTTGCTGATGTTACCAAAAAAAAAAAAAAGTAATATTTCATTAATAAAAAAGAAGGGATGCCAATTAGAACCAAAAGCAAGTAAGCCCCTATGCTAATTCCGTTCATTCCTATGATTAACCCATTGGCAAAAACGCAACTCAGAACTAAGCGTAACAGCAATCTGCTATATAAGGTAATTTTTCTGTTAGAAAGTGAACCAGTTCATTCTATATAAGCCACTGGACTTCAGTATCAGAATAATAGGTAACTTGGAAACATGTAAGCTACAAGGAAAAACCATCACAATTTTCAATGACTCTTCAACCAGATTAGATGTAGTAATGATTATGGGACTGCTCATGAGACCTTATTTTGCCATCACAGAAGAAGCATTTCTCAGTGGTTGCGTAAAGGCTATCCTGGCGTTAAATTTTATTTAACGGCAACAGGTATACGCCTACCTCAGAACCTGGGTGTTTGAAAATTAAAGAACTTGTACAATATATTTATAAAACAGTTTATATAGATTGCCTGTCTCAGAGTATATCTACAAATTTATCCGGGGGAGAAATCTACGATCACATATTTCAACGTCATCTTGTTTATGAATCACTTATACAAACTGTAAAATTCCAAATTCTGTGTGTACATTCACTTCATGAATAAAACAAAATATATCTGGCTATACTAAGCACCTAATATTAAAATAATTCCAGAATCAAATTCCTATCCACCTTAAAAGTCTGAAAAATTCAGCCGCCACTATTTATAGATAAAGTTTAACCAAGAAAGAAGTCCTCTGAGAAGTACCTCTGAGTAAGAAGTCGAGCAAAGCGGGCAGGAGACCTGCAGGGATGAGCAAGGAACTCCTGGCAAAACTCCAGCAGAAGAAGGAAGTACACGGAATGTGGAAAAGGGGACAGGCCACTTGGGAGGAATACAGGGACGCTGTCAGAGTGTGCAGGGATGCGGCAAGGAAGGCTAAGGCCCAGTTGGAATTAAATCTGGCAAGGGATGTCAAGGACAACAAGAAGGCCTTCTGCCAATACATCAATAGCAAAAGGAAGATTAGGGAAAACGTGGGCCCGCTGCTGAATGGGGCGGGTGCCCTGGTGACAAAGGATACAGAGAAGGCAGAGTTGCTGAATGCTGCCTTTGCTTCCGTCTTCACTGCTAAGGCCAGCCCTCAGGAATTCCAGACCCTGGGGACAAGAGAGGAAGGCTGGCGAAAGGAAGACTCTCCCTTGGTGGAGGAGGATCGGGTTAGAGATCTTTTGGGCAAACCTGACATCCACAAATCCATGGGCCCCGATGGGATGCACCCACGAGTGCTGAGGGAGCTGGCGGATGTTATTGCTAGACCACTCTCCACCATCTTGGAAAGGTCCTGGAGAGCAGGAGAGGTGCCTGAGGACTGGAAGAAAGCCAATGTCACGCCAGTCTTCAAA